TTTATAGATTTTATAAAACCATATTCACAAAGATATAACCAGAGAAATCAACTCATAAGAACAAATTACGCAGCACGATTACTTCAGTATCATACGGAAGAAGATTAGGGCCACTGAAAAAAAAAAAGTTAACTGACTTTTTAATTTTATTTCAGTTTAGTAGAAATCAGAATTCAGAATTCTGATTTTTTCCTCCGATTTCTGACTTTTTTCCTCAGAATTCTTAGATTAAAGTCAGAATTCTGACTTTTTTTCCCATACTAAACTGAAATAAAATTTAATAATCAGTTAACTTTTTTTTTTTCCAGTGGCCCTAATCCTCTTCCGTACTATCAATACCGAAGATTTCTTAAATCATTTTATTCAACAAATAAAATTATTTATCCAAACCTTTATTTTTGTATTTAATAGTATTTATTAATTATAGATTAAATTACCACCATTATTGTAGGAATTTAAAGGATAGAAACTTTTTCCCTTTCTTTAATATTTTTATAGTAAGTTTTGCTTTTGATACGTTTTCAGTTCAGCTGAAGATATTAATTATTTAGCTAATCGATTGATTCATCATTTATTCATCCGTCTACATTTTTGGGGGGTTAATTAATCTAAAGAGAGATTATTGATAAATAAACAAATAGAAAAACGTTATAGCTCAGTTTAAAGGAATTGTAAATGGAAATAGAAAAAAACTTTATATTTAGTTATATATAAAAAGTTAATGATTTAAATACATTTTAACCCTTTATAGCGCATTTCCAGCCAATAGTGTTATTATTAGTAAGACCTTTATAACATTCAGAAAAATTGATATATTGATGGCAAAAATTAATGTCAATATAATAACAAGAAACGCGAACTTGCCCGAATAGATTAAGAAAAATAACAAAAGTGCTTCTAGAAGAAATTGATGAAAACACACTGAGAGTGAAAGAAACACATTTTTTTTGGTCCAATATAACCTTAGAGACATTAATGCTGATACTGGCACTGACATTTTTTAGTTTATAAACCTGAATATAATTATTAACTAGAGTTATTAATTTATTAGCTTTGACTCCATTTGTAAGGGACATGCAAGGGATAAAAAACACTAACTTTCCCTATAAAGGGTTAAATTAACTAATTCCTAAATAATATCTCATTATTTGATACATCATTTAATATGATTTTTTATTATTAAATGAGACAATTCATCATTCAATCTTCCTTTTGACAGTTTGATAGTATAAACTTGAAAAAAATCTAAATCTAGATAAGTCATTTTTTCTTAAAATAAGTGCATTTGTTCTTGAATTGAGGAGGTAAAAGAGACACTTTGCCAATAAAAGAAGACGATTTACATTTAAAATAAGAAAACACAATTGCATCGTCTTATTTCAAGTGTATTTTTTCTAAATATCTTGTTTTAAGAATAAAAATGCTCGTTCCATTGGCAGATTATCTCATTAACGTACTCAAATGAATGGTAATTACATTTGATTTAAGACATTTTTGCTCATTTCTAGATTGTTTTTGCAGTGTAGCTATTAATGAAAAATAACATTTATATTTAAATCGTGTAGTATAAATAACTAAAGGTAACATTTTCTTCTTTCATAGTATGTTTATTTAATCATTTCATTATTTTAGGTTACTTCACATTTTAATACAAAATAAATGAAGATTATTTCAATCACTTCATCGCTGTTAATCAATTACTGAACAGTTAATTGTTTTAGCCCTGCTTTTAAGTTTTTGCTTTCCTTTTTTTTTTTTTTTTCAGTTTTTACAGCACTAGTGGCTTGTTTTTTCAACCGTAGGCCGTCAGGAAAAGGGAAAGGTCCACAGGCCGGATTCGAACCCGGGTCATGCGCTAACGCTGCACCTGAACACTGCAGTGAGGGTTTCCTCCTGCCTCTGATAACCTTTCTAACATTACATTTCTTCTTGGATATTTATTTAAGTGATATATAATAATAAAAAAGAGTTACATCATCAATATGCTTCCTCTTTAGCTTTGTTGTAACAGATAAAAACTCACCGGCGTCCTTCGTGAGGAGAACCTCGGTGTCATCGCTCTCGTCCGAAGCGTTGTTGTTGATGGAGCAGCCATTGGGCAGCGGCATGTCAGGCGTCGGGGAGGGGGGGACCCGGGTGGTTGCGTCGGTGTCAGTGAGTCATGGCGAGCCTGAAACATGCAGCAGTCATTTTAAACCACCCAGAGGAAGTGAGGCGGCGTGATGACAGAGTTTCTGCTGATGGCGTGGGTTAACGTAGGAAAACTCCACAGCTCTGCACAAAAACCCCCGGGCAGTTTGATGACACGCGCCGTTACTTCCTCACCTGATCGGGGCGGGTCTGTGGGACAACATGTTGTTTTCAGTCACCCAAACAGCTGATTGCTGTCATGACTGTTTTATAACAGCAGCTCTGCACTTTGGTCAGAAAATAGAAAGATCTGCAGAAATTCCTTCACCTTTGAAAAAAATCGAACGAAACGGAATTTTTAACTAGTAATCTGCAACTTTTCACAAAAATTCATAACATCCTGCATCACACCCGGGAAGGAGATAACCACAAAGGATGGATAAAACACCTTCAAACATCGCAGACGGAGACCTGCAGCAGAATGTGTCTCCATAGCAACCATTACATCACCTTTACATGCTCAGGGAGAAATGCAATTACACATCTTAACATGTGGAGGTTTCTAAACCCTAACGGGTTTTTAACCAAACCTTTTCAGAACAGAGATCCCAGGTGTAATAAGCACGGTGGAGGTCAGGTGATGCTGCGGGCCTGTTCGTGTCCTATAGGACCTACCTTGTCAAAACTAATGAAAACTTTGAAAAAGCGGCACGTTTGAAACATTTATCTGTTATCAACAGCCGATCTTCTTCCATGGCTCGCTCACTTCCTGGACCTGAGTCCCGTTGGAAACCTCTGCTGGAGAACCGATTATCCGCTTTGCTACCAGTAACTGTCCTACTGATCTTTTTAACGCAGCAGGAAACATTTAAATGTTGGATTTTTTTTTTATTCATATTTCTGAAAAACTGGATTTTTTATTTTTATAACATGAGAGGAGCCAATAGACATGACTGTGGAAATATTACTGTATTTGCAAATAAAATTTTTACACAAAGTTATCCTGAGGTGGAGAAAAAAAACAGATCGGTTTTGAATACTTGTTTAGCTCTTTATAAAATCCAAGGATCCCAAAACCCTGAATTCAGTCTAGGGTTAAAACAATTAATTGATTATTGAAATAATGGTCAATTTAGTCATCGTTTAAACGTTACCTGGAGTAAAGAGACTCATACCTTTAGCTGACAGAGCGACACATTTAGAGCAGGAATTATAGCAAAATTGTAAAAAAAAAAACTTACAATATCTTAACATTTTACATTTAAAGGAAAAGTCGCTCATATTCAGAATTCAAACTTCTGAAAGTTCTTTAAATCTGAAATGATTCCATCCTGTTTAATAAATGATCAGTGTTTTTAATTCAGAGTAATTTCAT